AAATTTGCTATATGGTGTTTGGCTGGGTATATTTCTTTGTTTGATTGTGCTATGTTTTGAAATTTGGTTGTTTATGTGAAAATTTATGGTTATGGGGTTGCTTTACTATGACTGAGTGCATAAAAAAAAGTAGGCGAAGTGAACATGAAATGGAGGTGGCTTATTTTGCTGCATGTGGCTTCTATTCATGATTTATTTGGGTTTTTCAATTGTGATGTTTGCTGGCTCCATTTTTGGCTGATTAAAGCAAATGGAGGCTGGGATTACATGCGTTTTGTGGACTCCATTTTTGGCCAATTTATGCATGTAATGGTGGCTGGATTCATATGTGTTTATGGCTGCATTTTTTGTCGATTTATGCATGTGGTTGTGGCTAGAATGTTGTTGAGAAAATATGTTGTTTTGTGTTTTCAAATTCTCGAATTTAAGGCAATTTGAGTGGAAATTGTATTGAGTTCTTGAGTACTGCATTTTAAATATTCGATGGCCCCTTTTTATTTCCATGAGATGCACATTTTCTCATGCATAATGTAATCATTACTCCTTGATATATATACTTTGATTATATTATCTGCATATGTGATCAAATTAGAGTTTGACATGTTATATGTAGTGTTAATTGATGGATATAGGACTTGGGTTTTGGATTGAATTAAATTCGTGTTTGGAGTTCAATGGAAGTAATTGGGCCCAATGGTGTTTGGAATTACTTGAAGTGAGTGGGCCTAATGATGTCTGAGTTTAAGTAAATAGGCTTAAAGGTGTTTGGTTTATTGAAATTGTTGGGATGTTGGGTTTTTATTTCTTAATTGTGGGCTTAATGGAGTTGATGGGCTTAATTAAATTAGTAGACTAATTGTGTGGGTGGGTTTACTTAGTTGGTGGACATAATTAAAAAGGGTTGAACTGTCAGTTTTGAAACATGTTTAGAAAATTATAGTTTCACCCTTGTATGTGATTTTTGAATATTATGTCATATATGCATGATTTATAAGCACTTATATAATATGCTCTTAACTTATATGTTACTTGGGATTATGCATGAGATATTTGTGGTGCTACAACCACCCTACGAAGTACCCATCCCCAGTTTCAAGCTCTGCCCATGCGATGCAGGATTCGCTGGGTATTGAGATATTCGATCTTCAGGCTCTACGCATGCGTATTGAGATATTCAGTGCTCTACCTGAGCGTTGAGTCTATCCGCCAGGTATTGAGATGGTTTTCCTCAGGCTATGCCCACGCGATGATAGATCTTGTCAGGTATTAAGATGTTTTTCCCAGCTCTGCCTGTGTGAGGGATGCCCATCAGGTATCGAGATTTTTCCCTAGGGTACTAGTCGTGGTGAGAACCTTCAGTATCAGTTTACTGTTTCAAAGCAGGATATCAGTTTATAGTTTTCAGATATCGCCCTACAGTTTTCTGTATCAGTTAATAGTTTTAGTAATAGTATCATAATCAACTTTCAGTTTTAGAATGTTCAAAATCAGATTACAGTACTTAGAACAATTAGAAACGAGTTATGCATGCATACATGAATGATTAGTTGCTTTCATAACATGTTCGTAGAATCATGTTGTATTCAGAATTTCATAAGAACTATTGCATGCCATAACTATTGTTGAATATATGTTTTTGCAAACTCCACTTTTTCCCCACTCACGAGCATTTCAGCTCACCATTTTTCAAAAATGTTTTCCTCTCCCCCAACCACACCAAACCCCCCTTCACAGGGAGATTGTGCTGAGCAGTGAGTCACCACTCAAGGTTGTGCCACACATCGACAACTTCTCATGTGTGTATTATGGCATATGTTCCAAAAAAAAAGAATGGCTTATGTTTCTTTTGTAATAGTCTTATGTTTTTATTGTAATTACACAAGACTTGATACTCTGTTTCTAGATTTTCATGGATTATGCATTATATTTTTCCAAACCTCCTAAATATGTTTATGTACCTATTCATACATATATTTCTAATTACATTTTCATACGGATTATTTATGTAAAGTATATTCAGGAAAACGGGATTTTAGGTTTCATAGTTTTCTCCACACGAGACGTCTCGGTCATCCTAGTCTTGTGAGAGCGTCCGGATCCTATGGGATGAGGAAGGTCGGGATGAGTCATTTCATCTTGGGTGGATGGAGGAATTGGAACATAATACTCATTTCGGAATGATGATCCTTAAAATCCATAATTTGGAGAATCCATTATGATAAAATAATAAATAACTAAAATGAATGAAATTCAATAATGTGAATAATAGATGAAACTAAAAAATGAAAGAAATTGAATAATGAATAAATATAAATAATAAATCGAATAATAGATGAAATTGCAGAGAGTTTGAGATTTGGAGTAGAGAGAATGAGAGATTGAGAGTTCAGAGTTGTGAGGAACGTGGGTGGGAATTAGGGGTTATTTATAGTTTAGGTATGGGGGGTTTTGACCGTTGCTCAACGGTCAGCAGCAATGGTCAAATGATGGTTGCTGACCGTTGAGCCAACGATCCAATTTTTTATTTTTTTAAATTACATTTTAACTCCTACATTCATTATCAATTTCATATTAAATAGGAGAGCTTCAGATATTTTATAGGGGTTAAAACGAAATTAGGGAAGGGGGTTTGGGCTCGGACTTGGGCTTGGGCTTTGGAGGAGTGATCGACCTAGCCCGGTCCCTCCTCCCTTGAGCCGGTCGGTCCTAGGACCGGATTTGGTTGGGCCCTGGCTTAATTCCCACCTCTAAATATAAATAAGAGTGGACAGAGGGAGAAGCATCGAAAACATCTAAAAAAAAGTTAGAATAAACATTACGATTACATAATCTTACTTTGAAAATTTTAACCAATAATTATAAATTTTATTAAATATTCTTTTAAATATTTGCCTTAGGTGGGTTTGAGATCAATTTTTATTTTATTTATTACTCCCACTGTATATCGATCACCTTCTCCTTCATTAACTCCTTGATGTCATTTTGAGCACGGGATGATTAGTATACCCCTGATCGCTTAGTTGAGATTGTTGCAGCTTCAACATAATCACTTCTAAGGGTTTGTTGGAGTGTTTTCACTAGTTTTGGAGGTTTTTAATTAGACTGATTTGAGGTTTCTAAAAATTATTGCTAGATTTTTTATGCACTGTTTTGACTGGCTCAAAAACCTCAGAAACAGTGTAGTGTATTATGAAGGTTATAAAACACCTCAAATGGGGTGTTTGGTTGGTTTTAAAATTAATTCCACAAATATCCTATCCATTACAACATTATCCCAATTATATCCAAAACAAAAAACAAATTAACCATATATGTGCATCTCCAACCACATAAATATAAAATAATTTAAGCAATCATAAAAAAAAATGTTTAAAATCTCATTTCTAGATGCTTTCTTGGAGAAGTTGAGCTACAATTTTTCAATCACTCCAAATGCTGCAAAGAATGGCAAGAATGATAAGAAGACTTTATCATTTGAAGTTATAAAATACTAATAAATAGAAAACAAATAAAGAACTCTTACCTTGTAATTGAAAAAACAAAACCTCCAAGTATAGTTGAAGTTGGAGTATTTTATGAGCATATATATAAATTTATATTTTAAAAAACTGTCAACCGTTAGAAAATAAACCTCAAGCACAGATGGTGTTTTAAAAACCCTACTAAAATCCTAAAAACCGTTAGTGGTTTACCTCATAAACGCTACCATGAAATCTCAATAGAACCCTAAGACAATTTTACCAATAATCAATTTAAAAAAAAAAAAAAAAAAAAAAGGAGAGATGTTTAGATATGTTTGGTAAATTACAAAATTTAGATCGCTTTGCTTTTAAAACACTATAGATATGTGTTTGGTAAATTTGAATTTTAAATTATTGTTCCAAGTACAATGACTAAAAATGACACACTTTATGTTAAAGTATTTTTGTAATTATAAGATTGTATTTTGAAAAGTCTTTAACAATTATTAAAAAAAATAAAACGTAATCAAATAATTAATAGTAAATAAATTATTATTTTTGTATCGATGTAGCCTAAGAATAAAGTGCTTAATTGTTAAGCTACAACAATCTCAAATACAGTACTATTTTAATATATGTCGAAGGCATCAATTGTTGAATGGGAAAATCTAATCTTCATATTTATTAACTGAATCATTCCTAACGGACAACATATATGTCCCTAAGATTTAGAAGCACAAGATCATACCAGTTTTGGATTCTTTTAGTTATATGTAACTTTTGTATAAAATATATGTAATTTTTTTTTAATTTTCAAGAGTTAATGATATTAATCATCTTAGGTTTGATTAAATAACTATAATTCCTCTTAAGTTTTGAAATAACAAAAAATCATTTTATCATTAAATTTTATGTGTCAAAATCAACGATAGGACAACAGTTCGGTAAATATTTAATTTACTTAAATGTAAATTCAAACTATTCACTCACAATATACTAATGATAGAGGAAATTTTGTTTTTTTCAAAAAGCTTAGTAAAATTTTTGTTATCTCATAAACGCAAGAAAATTTTTGTTATTATATTAAAAATGGCCCATAGAATACTGTACAGATCTATATTCTCTACACAATAGTGATGGTTGTTAGATTAAGAAAAAAAAAACAAATGAATAAATTTTGTATTTTATTGCTTGTATTTAAATATACGAATTTCAAAACTAATAAGTATAAATCAGAATATATCCTCCATGTGAGAGGTGGGCTTTTAGCCGTGGAAAACCTTTAAGTCCCATGTTACTTATTTAGGTTCAAACAAAAACGATATAATAATACTACAAATCCAGTATTCAATTTTGTTTTGATTTCCCTTTTGATGTGTGGCCGCCAAGAACAGACCAAAAAAAAAAAACAAATAAGTGGGACACAAAATTATTTGGAAAGATTATATGAACCCCACATTACAGAAAACAATGTCAAATGAAAAACAAACATCTTTTTTTGTCCTAATAATTTATGAAACAAATATACTCTTATCCAGATTCAATTAACAATCATAAAATTAATTTAATTTGAATGAATATAAGGTACATGAGAGTTCTACTATTGAAGAAAAGCAAGCTGGTGGTGTCAGCTAGAAACTTACACTCAACACAAGCTCTAGGAATAGACACATTCATGCCTTTATTTACTTTCTGGTTTTGTCAACAAGGCATTGACCAAAATCCCAGATATTTCTGCTACCTAAATTTGCACATTCCATTGATTCTTTATTCTTCATTCAAATGCTGTTTTCGCTGACCATCATTGGCTGCTGCAGAAGCCTAAGAATCCCATAAACTCGTGATTGTGTATCATTGTAATACTTTTCTCTACGCCTACAACACCTGCATAAACATTTCAATAAACAAGAGTTTAGAAAATGAACACTACCAAGCTTAAGTTTCCAAATAAAATTTTTGGTTTAGTGATTTGCAATACCCATTGTGATAGCGCTAGCAAAGATCACACCAGAGAGGACAAAGACGATAATTGAAGCTCTTTTCAGAATGGCCACAAGTTTTCTTATAAAATACTGACCCCAAAAGCCAGCTAGAATTGACACTGACATAAGATATAATGCTGCAAAAGAAATTAAATTTATCAGTAAAACCAATACTCATGTTGCAGAACAGTAGGACAATTTTTGAACATGAAGTGAGAGTTACCATAGGGAATTGGGAATCTTTTGAGCAAATAGAACTCAACCACAGACAAGGATGATGAGAACATCATCACAAATGTTGCTGTTGCACTAGCAACCTGTTACACGAAAATAACACATTTATCTTTATATCAAATGTGACAGAATCATAACTTCCAGATTCCATTCTAAAGTGAGAGTAGGTGGGAGATAAATTTTGACTTTGTTGCTAAATTGTTGTTGAGTCACAAAATCAGACCAACAGGAAACCAAACCACATTCATTGATTGAATATTTTCACTGAATGAAGCTATAAAAATTAAGAGAAATGGGTTGTAATCAGACCTGGGGGATGACACCGATCTCGAGGAGGAGGGGGCCGAGGATGAATCCACCACCAGAACCTAGCAGCCCTCCAACGGTGCCACCCAAGATACCACAAAATGCACAGAATGCAATGTGCATTGCAGTCCATTCAATTGAAGCCTCACAAATGGATTCTGTGTTTCCTGTGCTCATTCTATTCTTGTGTTCTCTGTACAATTTGACTGCTTCATATCCAAACACAACAAGAGCTATGGGAAACTGAAACATGATACCCCAACTGTTTAGTCCGGGCATAACCCAGAAAGCATAAGCTATGTAATAATGTTTAACGCAAGCTTACCTGTAAGCAGAACAACACCCAATACCATGCACCACAAGTAGTTACATCATTCTGCAGAAACAAAATTAAGAACATATAATTAAAAAAATATCATTTGATTGAATGAAGTGATTAATTCATAAGAGATGCTTGCCTTGATGATCTGAATGACTAGGAACAAGGCCCAGACAGCAAATAGCATAAAAAGCCATTTCCACCTAAGATTGAAATGCAATATTTCCTGGAAAATTAAGGAAAATTAATTCAGTTTCTCCCACAGAAAGAATAGAAAATTATTGGTGAGAGGGGAAAAAATGTGCCCTTGGCTTACCACATCTGATTTCTCTTCTCTAGGAACCAATGGACCATACTCTGCATCGACCAGGACTGCAAACAAAACAGACAACAAATAAATGAATATACGTTTAAATATGCAAGATTTTTGTAAATATGAACTAGTTACTCACGTTCTCCATGAGAATTAACCAGAGTTTCTTTTTGTTTGGCCATTTCCTTCTGCAAAAGTGAAGTATTAAAACTGGGTTAATACAAGTTAAAGTTTTCGATTAAATAAACTTGACATTAGTTCATTTTACTAAAAATTATTACCTTGAAAATTGTCTCCTCCTTCCACATTTGAATCGCCTTGTAGAAAGACCTTGATGAGGTTCCTGGTCATCAAATCAAAGTACAAATTAAAAACATAGCAATAAGAACAAAGCATTTTTCTATTAGCAAAACAGTAAAATAAATGTTTCATTAAAGTGAATTATTATACTTCAAACATACCAATAAAAAGTATAATGATGAGGACAGTAATGAGCCAATAGGGAAAGACAACACTAAGAGCAACACCGACTGTGATGCCGAGTAAAAGCATAGGCTGGAACAGAAGAGCCAAATCATAGTCTAAAATTGGTACTTCTTTTGTTGGATGGCTCACTTTCAGATTGTACCACACTGATGATGCTGATGCCCCCATAATCATGCCTGCAACCATTACATCATTTGTGCAATAAATTAATCTCATATGGTAAAAAGATGAAACTTGGAATCTAAATCACTAGTTTAAAAATACCCTATTCATTAGTCAATTCCTTGGGAGTTCCACAGGCAAAAACATGGAATATATATTTGTAATTACAAGATTTATTGAAAGAAAGAAGAGGCTGAAAATGGAAAAGAGATTTACATTTAGAAAGAGCCGCCGCAGATTTAGTATCAAACCCAACGATCAAAGTGAGCATTGGAACGAAAATGCCTCCACCACCAACCCCACCAACCGTTCCACAGGCCGATCCAAGAAATCCTATTAAGGTTGCCAACACTAATCTCCAACTAAACTTCAAATCCTGCATGAAAATAAACACTTCTAAACAAACGTTTCTTCCATACATACAAAAGCTCACTCATATTCATAAAATTTTGAATATGTAACGACAAAAGATAGATTGACATACAGGCCAAACTTTCTCTGCGCTTGAAGCATATCTCGAGAAAGAGTTTGAAGAAGAAACAAGATACTCATGTGGGTATGTATCATTCTTGCCAATGAGAAAGAACGCAGAGAGAACTGCCAACGAGAAACCTGAAAGCAAATAAAGCAGGAAACCGCCGGTGGCCATGTTTGTTTCAGTCACCACGTTCTTATTGCTACGTTACAGTTGTGTATCAACGTTCAAACGAAAAAGAGTAAGAAAAAAAGAAACTGAAGAGAAAACAAAGAAGCGAGTTATTAGAGAGAGAGGGATTGTTTTTGTGTTGTCGTAATTGTTATTGTCTGGTTGCTTATAACAAAAGAGGTGGTGCTGGCCTCACATGCAATTTAATTTACAGGGCAGAGATTGAGGGTTAGAATTACCATACTTTGAAAACTACCATGTTCATTGTTCACACAGTAGAACCACGTCGTTTCAGTCAATGGAAATTGGAAAGACTTGTCTAATTTGGAACTTAATGAATATTTTTTGTTTTATATATAGTAAGTTCATTAATAGAGTAAAGGGGGAAATAATTAATTGATGAAATGCGTTTCAGTTGATGGAAATTGGAAAGACTCGTCTAATTTGGAACTTAATGAATTTTTTTTTTTTTTATATATATATAGTAAGTTCATTAATAGAGTAAATGGGAAAATAATTAATTGATGAAATGCGTTTCAGTTGATGGAAATTGGAAAGACTCGTCTAATTTGGAAATTGATGAAATTATTTTTATATAGTAAGTTTATTAATGGAGTAAATGGGAAAAAAATTAATTGATGAAATCAGTTGAATATAAGTGGACTGAGGCAGAAAGAAGTGGGCCCAGGAATTGGGTTTGTCCCAGTTTGGATAAATACGACACCGTTGGAGGGTTGAGGGGCATGATGATGATGCAGACGCAGGGGGTGCTGATCTTCAATGATCGATTTAATTTTTTAAAGGCAAAATAAGAGTAGCTGTAGCTGTAAATGACAAAAATGAATAAATATAATTGTCAGTATAAAACGTGATTCATGTTTCTCTTCTTAAATTATGGCTATTTTTAACTTTTTGTTGGTAAATGGGTAAGTGGAATAATTTTTTTATGAAATGAAAAAAACAAAATTAAAACATGATATTACTTGACATGAAGACTAGACATATATGGCCAACAAAACTAAGGAAATGTTATTTTCATAATATTATTATGAGAAAGTCCAAAATCATAAGGATGTATTATGTCATTTTCAACTATCCAAATAATATCATTCTATAGACATAATTAAAATTTATACCTACCAAGTTTAATTCATGGATAAAAATGATTAGTTTTTTATGAAAGAAAAAGGCAATAGCCATTCTGCCACATCGGTAAGCCAAGTTACTTACGATTCTTTGAACATGACTATTCATTTGATGCCTCATTCCTCATTCCAATCCTTTGTACTAAAAGACAAAACCATTTTCATAATTAATGGTTTATACCCAAATCCAACATTAATTCCGATTATAAATGATAAGTTGCAAGAAAGATAAAATGTTGAAACATGGGGGTAGGTGGTATCTATGTGTCATGTGATTATAATAAAAGAAATTAAGAATAGTCAAAACTTACATGATTTTGATCCAATCCAGGATTGTTTCTTCATCAAGCCACATCCTGACGCATCTCTTGTATTCTGTCTCTTATATATATTTTCCTGTTTCACAGTTTAACAACTCAACTTAAACACTTGCTATTATATATTATTTAATTTTACACAATAACTCTTCATCGATCATCATAAAAAGCCACCTCATCGTGCCTCAATTTCATTTTCTTTTAAATTCTCATGGAAACCTCTAACAAAATCATTTAATTCAAGGTAAAAACACTTTATACTAATGGTGCGTTTGGCTAATGGTATGAGAAGATTACTCCTATAATCTATCTTTTGTTACAGATATTATGTTTTGGTTGTCATGTAATAAGAGATTATGGTATATTTCATTGCCAGTGATTATTACTGTTGGTAATATAAAGGGTAATCATATTACCTTCTCAATAAGTGTTCTTAAGATTAACGGGGTAATCTACTGTTCATACCAATTTTACCCTTAATTAAAAAACACTGCGAACACAAATGTCTTCATATGTCTACTAAATAACAATTAGTCATATTATGCAAATGACTTCTATAACCTCATAAATTAATTTTTTACACACAAATGCCTTAACTATGAATACCACCCAAAATTATTTAGTCACTAAAGACGATTGTTGACCACCAGCCATCACCGACAATCTCCGAAACAGCATATGACCCGTCAGATCTGGCCGGCCCTGCATCGATATGGTCGTTAATGGCCAAATCTATTATGGTCTTTTCTGATCAAATCCATAGTTGTTAACGACTAGAATAGATCTGGACGTTTTCGGCCAGATTCACGACCATTGGCAACCACAGATGTAGTCGTTAAAAGCTTTGGATTTAGTCAAAAATGGCCAAATCTACGATCATTTGGCTATTTTCGGCCGGCAATGTCCATATCAACGCACAACCAACCAAATTCGGCCGTTTCGGCGGCGACCGATGGCCAACAATCATCTGTAGTAGTTGGAGATATTTTGTTTAATTTAAACTTTTGTTGTTAGAGTATTTTAGCTAAATTCTCAAATGTAAGGGGTTAAAAGTAATCTATCTAAATAATAATAATAGTAACAATAATTATATAATAATAATAATAATATTATTATTATTATGGGCAATCCTATAAAAACGTCTGCCGATAATATTTTATTCCTCCCAACTAAATATTTTAATTATTTATACCCACTAGTTTAACTAAACATATTAATATAACATTCTCCCATAATCTTCAAGGTAATATATCTCACTGGTAATCCTACATTTTCAGTAATAAAATATTCTCCAAACCAAACGCACTCGAAAATATTTTATGAAAAAGTATATATTGATTGCTATGCAAACATGGGGAAAAAAATAATTAAGCCCAAATATTCTATAAAATCAATAATTTATTTGCTCTTTTCTTAATAAAAGTTTACAATGTAAATATTATAAGGAGTTTGGATTTATGTAGTTAAATTAGTAATATTAATTTCTTAAAATGTGGAGGTTGTATTTAAATGATAAATTTAGCTTTAAAATCAATTGATTTACCTATTATATCATTAATAAAACAACAAAATGTATATTATCTAATATATAATATAAAATCATATTACACTCGATATCTAGCATCTAACAATGTAATTTAATAACCTGATTAAAGTATGTTAAATCACTCTGAGCTATGCTAAACTTATTTGTTTAATCCATTCTAACTATTTTTTTCAATAAAGACAATTAAGTTAACTCAAGTGGGTTTTTTGTTTTAAAGCAAAATCTTAATGCTCCGTTTGTTTTGTTATTCCTATCCATATTCACAATCTTATTCCCAAAATACTTGTTTGTTTTATTATTTAAGAAATACTATTATATTTTTTTAATTACTTTTAAACCTCTTAAGTTTATTAATTTAATTAAACACCCCCTAGAAAAAAAAGTTTAAAAACTAACAAAAACACCCTCACCCACCCATAGTTGCCAGATTCCGGCAACCACCGTCGGTGGTTGCCGGAATCTATCACAACGGCATAGAAACGACCGGAAATGGCCGGTAATTCACCTATCTGAAATGGTTGTCGTTGTCGGTACCTTTGGTAGTCGCTGACGGCTAAATCTGGCATTTTGCAGCCGTCAAAGGCCAAATCTGGCCTTTTCCGATCAAATCAGTGGTGAATCTGGCTGAAAAATGCTATATCGACGCACGGCCGGTCAGATCCGACCAGTTTGCGTCGTAACGCCATTTTCTGGCCAGATTCCGGCGGTGGTAGACGGAATTTGGCACTGTGGGTGAGTGGGGGTGTTTTTGTCATTTTACCAAATTTTTATATATTGAGGTGTTTAGTTAAATTAGCAAACTTAAGGGGTTTTTTTTTTTAATTTTTAAATTTTAACTTGTAATACTCACCCTATTCAACTACCCAATATTATTTCTAAAATCATATACAAAATAACAAAACAAACGGACCCTTAATATTTTAGGAATCAGAATTATTGATATATACACCAAACATTTTAACAATTTCAAAATTAAAAACGACGTGTCGATGCGCATGGGGAGGGTCAAACTCATGGAGGGGTGGTCTACTGGTCCTTATACATTACTGATATTTAAAAAAAAAAAAAGAAAAAAAAAAAAAGGTATTTCCACTCAAATTAGGTTTCCATAGAGGGAATATTTTCGGTATAATGGAACCCGCGTGATAGCCTAATCAATTGTTGTGATGTAGACAATCTTTCTAATAATAAAATAAATTATTGATTTTTGTGTAAGGGTTTCATCTCTAGCATCATTACTTATTTGCGTACCAAAATCCTTCAGATTTTTGCCAATTTTGTTTCTTTCCGTTTTTAAAATAAATAAACACACCTCAATGTTTACAAACACCAAAAGCATCTTCTTCAATCATTGCTTCATTTCAACCAAAAAAGAAAAGGAATATATAATCAATTTGCTTCATATATGGTGGTACACCACTTACACACCAGCCGTGAGCGAAATAATTTTGGTTATGGTCATTGTCATTGAAATTTGGTAAGATTTAATAGCGTTACATTGCAACGAAACAGAAATTTTGATTAAAACTTTTCAATTTCACATAACAAAATGAAGTATCGTTTAACCAAACGCAACCGTTGAATAAATCACTGGTTGATGATGATTACATTATGTTATGTTATTAATTGCAATTGTCAACAACAAAAGCTAGTTTTCATTCTTTCTTTTTATTATTTCTAATACTTTTATTATTTTATTAATTTGAATTAAAAAAAAAATTCTAAAGCTTAAGTTGTTTAAGTGTATTTTTGTAATTGACTCTTGTGAGAAAAATATTTGATGTTGGAAATTTTAAAAAACCATTTTTGGAATCCTTTTATAAAATTGATTATTTAATAACAACTTCTTATATTCATTTTTTTAATTAGTTTATCAACGATTTTTAAATTAGAATTTTAAAAGTAAGCTATTATAATCGTAAGGTGAAATTGGTTTAATAAGAGATTGAAATTTGTGGCCATTCTCTCGTTGTTTTTGAGACAAGTGGCCAGAAAGTTGATAATTTCTCTAATATAAAATTAACAAATCTATTATCAATCAGACATAAGTTAGAGAGGATCAAAACTACCTTTTTTTATCCTTCTAGATTCCACTAAATTGTAAATAACATAAAAAAGTAGGCAAGAAGTATTTTGGAATCTATTCTA